CAGACAGATGGGAGACATCATCAAGCCAAGATTATAAAAGGAGAACAGACAGCGCAAAAAACTTGCTGCAGCTGTCATGGAAACATCTTTTTTTTATTATTTAATCACTGCCCCAGGAATACCCAAACCCATCACAACCTCCCCCACCCTCTACATCCAACAGGATTTCACAAGTCCCCCGTTGCCTCCAATGTTTAGGCTCCCCTCCCCCTTTAGGGTCCAAGTTCCTGCAGAAAAGCTCCGATCAGCAGGTATCATCTGTGACATGGTTCCAGGGGGCCACAGCTGCGTCCCAGCGGTGTCCAGCTGGGTCTGAGAGGAGGGGGAGGAGGACTTGCTCCTTTACTCAATCAGTTTCTTGGCCTTGAAGAAGCGGCGCAGGTAGAAAACCTGCCAGGTGGCCAGTCCGATGAGACAGCACATGGAGAAAATGCTGAAGTACAGAACCCGGGTGTTCGTTGACTCTGAAACACACAACAAACCACTAACAGGACTCCGACATCGCAGGAAGCACCTCCAGAGGGCAAAGTTCCCAGGATTTTCTCTTCCCACCCATGTGAAACTTCAAAGGCAAGATACGAGGTAATGGCCTCAAACTGCGCCAGGGGAGGTTTAGACTGGATATTGGGAAAAATTTATTCAGAGAGGGTGTTCAGGCATTGGAACAGGCTGCCCAGGGAAGTGGTGGAATCACCATCCCTGGAAGTGTTAAAAAAACATGCAGATGAGGCCCTTAGTGACATGGTTAGTGGTGGATTTGGCAGTAATGGGGTAAAGGTTGGACTTGACGATCTTTTCCAGCCTAGTTGATTCTATGGTTCTAGATCATATGGCATGAAGGCAAGGGCACTGAAACACTAGCAATACCTGAGAATAAAAGCAAAGGGAACAACAAGAGCATAACAAGGTGAAACTGAGGTTAATGGGCAACATTAAATGGCATGGAGTAATTCACATTAAGAATGGAGACAGAAAGAAATGATTTCTAGAGATGGGATACACAAGACTCAGTGACTGCTTCAGAAGGAGAAATATCAGCAAGTTTCCCTTACTAGGAACAGAACAGGCAAAGACCACTATAATTGCTTAATCTTCAAATTCTACCCAAAAAATACATTCAGCAGAAGTAAGGGGTCTGAGAGCTCCATCCCTCTGAAGGGGCACACAGTCTCTTACCATTTGTATCCCTCATCTCCTCTTCTCGTTTCTTCATATAGGCAAAGTCGTTAACGATGGACTCTGAAAGATCTTCCAGGCGCCTCAATTCGACTTCCAGAGGCTTCAACTTCTCCACTTTTGCAATCTAGAAAACAGAAGAGTCAGGCAATCACTGAGCCAAAACCAAAAGCTCCCACATGGGTTTTTACTGCCAGTTTGAACCACTCCTCCTCACATAGTACAGATCTGGGGCATCCTTCCCCTAGGGAAACACCTCTACAAACCAGAAACTACCATTGCATAAAACACTATCACTTCTCCCACCTGTTCTCTGAAACACACTTTCCTACTACTCCTCCTACACAATGGAGGAGCACAGTATGCACACAAGCACATTTATTCCTTATTCGGCCTTCTGCTAGCTTATTCACAGTTGGCTTCTGAGGAGTGGGTAGAAGAGCTTGCCACATGACTAAAGCTCCAGCGAATACAAGTCAGAAACTGAGATACAGGTGACTAACTTACATACGCATATGACATTGTTCTATAGGCACACAGGGTATTAGCACCGAGACTCGCTTTGCTAACTGTTGCCACATGCCCCAGAAAGCCTGATTCCCAGTGGCAGTGGTTTGATTACACCCACGAAAGCTCAGGGCTTTTATCACATAGACTGCATAGGGCTCAAGGGCAGCATATCCCCTCGGTAGGTTCCACGCAGCTACGAAGTGCTCCATCTGCCTCAAGCCACCAGGTGACGCTGCTGGAATACTTATGGGACGGGCTCCCGTTGAGCCAGCGTCAAGGAAAAAAATACTCTTCCCTCATAAAAACTGGTTTTATAGGACACCATTTTTGTGCAGAACATGCAACCCACAGTCTTACTAGTCACACACTTGTATCCAAGAATTAAAATGCAGAGGAAATTAAGTTAGAAGGCATAGTGCATAACAGCAACTATTTAAAGTTGAATGTGTCCCGGCTCCAGCCCTGGCTGTAACCTGACTACACATTACGTAAAAACTGTGTCAAGGACGTTACTCAAAGGAAGCTAACTGCAATTCCTGCCACTGCTACAGCATAGAGTTTGTGTAACCCTGGTTCTTGGGTAGAATTTGTCACCATCACCAACAAGTGACAGGCCCCCACCATCAAGGTCAGATGCTGTGTCCCCAAGTAACGCAGCAGAAGAAAGATGCACTACACAAAACACACGGAGCACTTGCAGCTCACCACCAGTCTCACAGCCACACAGGATTCCTCAGACATAAGCCACAGGATGGCACCCTTCAGTGGTCCATACTGACAGGCAGGCAAAAGGATGCTCCCTGTGCAGGCAGCCCCAAAACACTGCTTCCAGAGGCAGCTGCCTGGCTGTCAGAGCCCATCTGAAGAGATGCTCGCAACCAGCTCTAGCTCATCAGCCATTTCACTGAAGGGTCTTCACATGACACACATACCCTGGCAAGCCACAGGCCATCAGTCATCTGGAGACTTCTGTGCTGAGGCGAGCTGTATGTCACAGCTCTGCCAGCACAGCAGTGTCAGTTCAGAGTGCATTTGTGAGGAGGGGTAGGAAACAGAAGGTTAAACCCCTCCTGCTTTCTAGCCAACAGCTTGCACTGATTAAACCCTGTAGTCTGGACACCCATCTGCCCACAGACTTTTGCTGCCACCAGTGCAAGCATGCCTATGGCCTTGACAGATACAGCGAAAGCAGCAGGTCTGTAACACACACAAGGTCTCAGGTAGCTCTACTGACAAGTTAACCCCACACTGACTGGCTCCATTATCTTCCTGGAGGGCACTTTTCTGCATTCACAGCAAGCGATAAAGGTTGCACTGGGAAAAAACAAGGCTTGTCTGCTCCAGCGTGCATCTCTTCAGCTGGTCTGAATAGGTATGAAACATCTGATGGCTAATTTTAGTCCTGTGTGTACCCCAAGACATACCTGGAACCTCTTTCATCCCTAGTGAAACCATTAAGCACAGCTGCTCCAAGGGATTTTGTAAAAAGCCCACCAAGCATCTGTGGTGGCAGAACACCATTATCCTAGCAGGAACATCTGGACCACCAGAACAACTGAGACAACAATGCCATTGAACTACTGAACTTCTAAAGGGGTAACTCAAATATTTGTCAAAGCCTAACTCTTCCATGCCAAGCCATGCCAAGAACTGACAAGGAGTAGCTGATCTGGAAAGGAACCCAGATCGTCAAACCTTCTTCATGCCTTCTGAAAAGTCTTATCTTTTTCTTTACCTTCATTTCCACTTACTGAATGGATAGTTATTCCCTACCCCAGAGAACTAAGGCTTGACACTGCCATGCAGTTAGGTTTTCTAACCCAGCTCACTCTCCCAGTTGTTTTGTTCAAGAATGTCTTGATCTCATGAAGCCAGACTTGAACACCACCCCTCTTCTCACTGCATATATCCATGCACAGTCCTCCCCGCCAAGGCCTTAGAGCAACCAGTCAAGTCAAAACCCATGAATACTACAGCAACCTTGGGACAGGGGATGAAAAGAAGAAAACACACTGCAAAGCAGTGTGGCTAAGCGTCCACAGCAGCTGTATAAACACTAACCCAGTCTGAGACACACTGCTCAAAGTCTTCCACTCTGAGAGGTCTTCACAAGCCAAGGATGCTTGCCAGAGCTGCCAACATCTGCATTTGGTATCAGGTGGGACTGAAAGTGTAAGTTCTTCTTTTTGTGCATGGACCTTTTCCCTCAATCTCACTACACTGACAAGCGTAACAGATAATTACTTTTATTCCAAGACAGTTTTATCAGTACAATCAGTGAGTATGTAGATAAATCAGCATAAGAGAACCTTTCCACATAGAGACAATGCTTCTAGGTAGCACTACAGTAATGTAACTCAGAGTATGCTGCAGGGTTGTATTTAAAGAGATTCTTTATCTGTAGTCATTATAATCCAGTTATGCTCTTAGGGGTCATCCCATGAGATTTCAACATCTCGTAATCCTGCAGTAGTTGGTGGCCAGATAGCTGGCCCAAAGATTGCTCTGCTCTGCCCTGACCCCAACCACTACTTTACTCTCCATGTAGGATGTGCTCTAGACTGACAAGCAACAATTGCTCTGCTCTTCCCTGACCCCAAGCACCTTCTTACTCCCCGCATAGGATGTGCTCTAGAGTGACGTAACCCACACAAGATCAGCTAGCCCAAAGCTCAAAAGCTTATAAAAAGTCCAGCATGACCATCTCAGAAATTCTTTTTCCAACTGGGACCATACACAGCCTCCTCTGCCACCCAGTGCCCTCCACAAGGCATCTCCCACACCGTTGTATGCAGTGGACACAGCAGTCATTTGCAGTAATCTTTCTCCACCAACAGCATTCATTTCCTCAGGCACAAGGTCTGTGCTGTGGGCTGACCGACCCCAAGTTCTAGTGAGCCAAAAGCACTAGTAGCAGCCATAAGAACTCACCATCCAAAGCAGCCAGGACTGCCCCAGCCACAAAGCAACTGCTATTCCACACAGCTGGCTTTTGGGGCTACGAAAGGCACATCCTCCTAGGACAGAAATGTCTAGGCTTTATGCCTACTAGCGATGTCATGCCTTCAAACCAAACACCCATTTCACACCAGCTACTACTCTGCCAAACACCACTGCATTGATACAGTTATACATATGCCAGTTCTTAGCAATGTACAAGCGCCATTTCAGGGCTGTTAAGCCAGTACATCTTACAGTCAGGAAGTTAAGAACAGGAACAACATAACTTGACCTTTACGATGATCTGATATTAAGCTAAAATGCACCCCACTGCTGGGCATTTGAGATCTGTGTCTCTTCTTGCTTCTAATGCCTATGTCCAGAAGTTGGGTCACTCTGTTCTAGCAAAGAAATTCACACATTAGGCTCTAGTCCCCAGAGTACAGAGTTAATTTTAGTTATGTTTGTCCTTTTTTTTTGTTCTCCCCCAGCACATAAAGCTTCGCTGGAATTGTAAGTTGCAGGCAGGCTTTCATCACCGCTGGGAAAACAGCTTCCCATCATGAGCCCCAGATCCACAAATGGCATCACGTGAGTGCTGGGAAAGGGAAGCCTGCAGTACAGGCAGCCAAGGGACATACCTCCTCGTAGTTCTTTGCTTCAACTCCATGCTTCATATCCAGAATCACGAGCTGGTCCGGCATCCTCCCTGTTCCTGGAAACATAATGAAAGGATTCATTGTGCGAAGCATTCAGCCTGCCAGGAAATCACCAGCTCTCCCCACCACTGAGGAAGAACTCGCAACATCACTCCCCTCCCTCCATGTCTGCAGCTAAGTGCGGAGGCAGCACAGTCCAGCCTAAAAATACAGAGACTTCACAATAAATCCTGGCTGAAGGAGAGCCTCACAGAGATAATGAGAACAAGCTGTAACTAAAAGCGCTAAGTGTGTACAGGATGCAAATCACTGCAAAAACTGCAGAGATTAGAAGATGAATACCAGCTGCTACAAGACAGCCTGGCAAAGGACAAGTCATCAGAGGGACAAATATTCAGTTGGGAAGCCCACGTTCCTCCTAGCAGGAAGTACACCGGCAACTTGTCAAGGTTACTGGGGTTGTAAAATGGTTTTACATTCAAAGGAGCAGAAGCTAAATGCTCCAATTGAGGAATATGGCACATGGGGACTACTGACCCTCAGATGCTGCAGTATCTGCAGAAACAAAAGCAATCCCTTTACCAACGTATCTTTTCAGGAAAAGAACAGCTCAGAAGTCTGAGACCCCCACTGCTAATGCAAACCCCGAGACAGCAAGAGGCTTCTGAAGCTGAGAAAGCACCACTTCAGAGAACTGTCCGCTGGAGCTGCATGAACAGGGAGTAGGATATGGCTGCAGTCAGCAGCACAGTAGGTATCTTTTAAGGCTATAGCCTCCAAGCCAGGGACAGCTACAGCTAATAGCTTCTTTTAACTGCTACAAACTGTCATATCTGAGAACGTTCACAAGGGCGGGGGGGGGAACATCTATATATAGCCTATGCTATATATATGCATATATATATATATATATATGATATACCCTAAAGAATGCAGCATGTCAGCTGAGCTAAGTACAATGTTCTACTATACCACCCACCAAGGAAACATCTGTACATAACACATTCCGAAATCCCTGCACATTAGGGCATACAGTTGTCCTCATCTGGCTGCCAGCAAACACAAGGTCTGAATTCACACTATGAATTTCAAAGTCTTTATCCAGGAGCACGTCCAATATTCACACTTCGCCTTAGGAGGCTGCCAGGTGGACATTCCCTCAGTCCACAAACAAATTCAATGTACAGGTTACACTGGGTCACTCCAGTCAGAACCAGGAAGATACTCCAGATCTTCAAAACAATATCCCCAAATTTTCTCTCTACCCACTGCACAGCTCTTGAACACACTAGAGCAGAATCACCACCACCTTCCACTGCTAGCAGAACATGGTATAACCTACTGACAACTAAAATCCCAGCACTGTTCTTCAACAGACAGGCTGTTTACAACCACCCAATGCTCCTTTCGGCAACCACAAGTTCTGACTACTTATGCCATACATATACCAGCATGCCTGGAGACTAGCAGGTAGGACAGCCAACAGTAGCTGCAGAAGAAAATTCAAAGCACACAGTTCAGTGAGAGGGTTGTTTTAATACTGCTTAAATTGCAGCAACTTGGGTGGAAAGCTGGAGCTTCCAGGAAGAGATGAGAAAAATGAAAAAGTCAGTGGACAGGAGAACAGAACTGGAGGGATTAATTTGTCAGGATGGAAGGGAGAGCTGCCAAGAGGCAGTAAGAAAGCAGAAACCTTAGAGCTGCTGCTGGCTGCACAGGGATGGAAAGCAGACATTCTGCAAAAGGTTAACATTGTCAGGGACTGGCCTGGAAAAACTCAAGCTGCTCTTCTACAAGCTTACTGAGCCCAAGGCACCAGGCAGCTCCCTTCTCGCTCGTCAGATCCTCAGTAACTCCCTGCTCCTTGTGCAGCCTGGGCTATCCAGAGCAGACTGGATCAACAGCAAAGAGAAAAACAGTTAAGTCCCAGAAATCTTGAACTAAACTGATCCCTAATCCCCCAGGAGGTCTTCAAGAGGTCATTTCACATGAGCTGAGAACTGTTTCCTGGGATTAGAGGAGCTCCTAGTTAACAAAGTCGTTGGAAAACCAGGACAGTTGAATTGCCACGTGGACAGTTTTACCAGAAAAAAATGAGCCATAACACTCTTAAAGTTTGGGAAGAGAAGGATTATACAAGGATCAAAGAGGTAAAGATTAGTACACAGGAAAAGTCCTTCAGGGGAGCATGTAGTAAGGCCAGGCTGTTCATCTCTGAGATTAGCATCTGGTGTGAAAGTAAGCGTGCCTAGGAACAGAGTACTGGTCAGGGAGACAGGACCCTTCCACCCTGGAAAAGGGGAAAGCAGCCTGTTATGCTAACACTCACAGCTCCAAGAAGCACCCTAAGAACTTCACTCTGATAAGGTGGACCTTTCAAACAGGGTGCCCTTCTCACTTCCCCTTCCTCATTTCTGTGGTTAAGGATTGAGAAATCCCGATTTCTTAGACCCCTCTGGTCCCAACAGCTCTGGGCTTCTTCTACCAAGAGCTTTTCCTCTTCCAGTACTCCACCAACATCCTCCTGGACTGCTGCACTACAAGTCCTGACCACTTACTTGATGATACTGTGAAAAAGAAAAAGGAAAACCCAACCCTTAAAAGAGAAACATGTGGATAAAACAGCACTTGGTCAGTTTCCCCGTTCCCATGCTGACCTTATAGAGGAAAGAAGGCACTTCCTTGTGATGTATGATGTGGCCACTTCTTAAAATTCTACCTTAATCAAGTCCTGCATGTGATCAAGCCTCACAGTGCCACCTCCCTTTCCTAAATTTCCAACAGAGGCACAGGAAATGTCTAGATACTCACTATGCAGCATCTCTCTTTAGCAATGAGTTTAGGGCGTCTGGGTCCCAAAAGAAACAGGCAGCTTGGAAGCTCCTAAAGAGAAGCCTCCAGAACAGGATGCAGCTGCTCAATTGAGCAGCTCTAGATTTTGGTACCTCAACATCCCATTGATCATCATGTAGAAAATGCATTTAGAAATATGTTATCCTCATCAATAATGAAAGCTTTAAAACAAACTTGCTACAATACAAAGAAGCCAGGGAATAAACATTTGCTACAGTCAAAACAACTATAAGGCACTCAGTCTAGGCAAGAAACCTCTAGTCACAAGCACTGACATAAGGAGTCTAGACACAACTAAAGAAAGAAGCCTTTCCCACTTTGCTGTGTGATCACATGGAAGCTATGAAAGGGTTTGTGGAACTGTCTGGAGACTTCCCAAATATCCAGGTGTTGGAAAGTAAATAGCATGAGTTACTCCCAGATGAGTCACTAGTGCCTACATGTCTCGATGTGCTAAAGAGCATTTGGAAGCCCTGCCTTTGGAGCGAAATTCTGAGCATTTGAGGTCACTGTTTTATCTGTAAAATGCTTTAGAAGAGGTGTTATAAACAAGATCCTTCCTAATCCCAGCAAAGAAGATACTCTTTCTGTAAAGTTCTCTTCAACTTGCAAACTATGCATCTTGTATGTGGAGCAGAACAGCAAAACAAAGGCTGTCTTTCAACAGGTATGAGGAATGCTCCTAGTAATGGCTCTGGGTTCTTTAGGATAAAAACTAAGAAAAACTAGGTCCAGGGAGCAGAACTCTGACAGTGACTGTGAAAAGATACGACCATCTATAAACCTGCACATGCTCACACCACCACAAATGAGACTGGAGCCCACGTGCTTGCCATTTTCAGCACGTTTGTCCTGAAGTTGAGCCCAGCCATTCAAAAGCAGCACATGCGTCACACTCACAGGAAATGAGCCTTGGTGCTCATTAGGCAACTGTCCCTCAGCAGAAATGCAAGGCTGACATCCTGCTCATTTCCCCTTCCCTTTATTGACCACTTAGAGAGCAGTTATGAGTACAAACCAAGGCCACATTCTCTATACAGACACTTCCAACCCCAGAAAATGGTTGCTAACCTAACACAGGATTGCTGCCAAGTATACACTATGGAGAGATCACATTCCACCAAATGGGGAGTGACAATCAGCTGGGGAGAAAGACAGAGCATCCTGCTCTGTCTTGGCTTGACTGCAAGATGGGCAGAAGCATGAAAAGGGCAAACAAGGTTTGGTTTGCTCCCCGGTACTGCCACTCATTGCAACTGAGGTGACCTCTGCAGGAGGAGCACACAATTCCCCTTGCAAAAACCCAAGCACTCTACACGACAGCCACAGAGAAATTACTTAACTTCAGATGCAACGCTGACAGCAGATATTCTGCAGTGGGACTGCTCACAACCTCCTGAAGAGTGGCTTTAAAAGTTAACCAGAGGTCTGCACACCACTCTCAAGATCACTTTACCCATAGCCCTAAATCCATGTATCTAGGTGATCTTGATCAGGAGCTACAAGCAGTCAGCAGACCTTCCACCTCACTTACCCACAGGAAGCTTGCTCTCAAAGCAGGCCTCGAACATATCGTAGTCTTCAGTGGTGAATGCAAACTTGCCCTTAGTGGCATCCTCCTTCGCATACAGAATGTGCCCAGCTGAGTCAGTTATCTGTAAGAGAGACAATGAGGGTACGAAACATAGTGCTTCACTGCTGCGGGCTCACGCTGCCTGTGCAGAAAGAGTTGTCCTAGCTTTCTCTTTGGATCATCTCCTTTTTCCTTTCAACATTTTCCCCACTTCCTTGCAACTGTATCAATTTCTCCCCTCCTCATACCCACTCCAGGAGCTGGCAAAGTCAGAGTCCCTATAAGGGAATTACTGACTCTTATACAAAATCCAAAAACAACCCACTAAAAACCAATCAACCAACCAACCAAAAAAAAAACCCAAAACCCACACTAATTCCTCTTCCTCCTGTAACCCTTGAACAGAGACCACATTTAGGAACTCTAGCTGAACCAAAATGTTATTCAGTGCCTTCATTTTACAAGCAAAATTCATAAATTTTCATAGCAACAGAGATACGGAAAAGCGTTATGGGACAAAAACCCCATTAATTCCCCAGAAGATGAAATAGAGAAGGGCAGATCTATTCTCTAGAAATGAGCCATCAGTGGGGCCCTGTGATACACAAGGAAGGTTTGGGTGCCAAGATCCTTAGAAGTGGCCACTTCAGAGAACAATTCAGACTACCCAGACACAATAATAACTGCTTTGCGCTAAGCCTGTGAAATTACTAAGAACAGGCAAAAACTGTAGAAGGTCTACAAAAATGCTCCAACAAAAGGACGCATGTTTCATGGTGCGCACTTTGCGCTCAATTAAAAGCTCTGTCCAGTTGAAATACTCTGACCACGGAGAGGGGTGAAAAGTGAAGGTATTACAATACTGCATGAAAATCAATGGTGTGTGTTCCAGTGTAATGCTTCCCAGTTCTCCTCAACTCTATGTTTCTACAGGTATGTTTGAAAAAACATGGATGCTGAAGTTACTAGGGGTCTTTGAAAGTCTTAGAGGTGAAGAGACTAAAAAGCTTGGGAATAATGTTAAAGGTATAAAAGACAGAAGTACACAAAACAATCTGTGGTATGGAGAAGGTAAGTAAGACATTCTCCTTTACTCCATCTTACAACAGAAAAATAGCCTTGTTTCCCCGTACAAAGGCTATACAAAAGGGCTATGTATACAAAATTATTCCAAGGAAAAAATCTTTATTTCTATTAGAACACCTAATTAACTCTCTGTCATGGAATACCACTGATGCCAGCAGCCTGCTGGACTTGGAACAAGTACAGACCATTGCATGGATAATGAGAGTGGCTGCATTAAGCAGGAAAAATAATAAAGTATACAAATCCCCATGCCTCAGGATATAAACCACAGCAGGCAAGACTTTAGGAACAAGCTTCCTCTAGATATAGATTATCCTGTAACTGTCTGTTGCACGATTTGCTGTAGCTGCCCCTGCACCATATGTTATCTGTCAGCACCTGAGAAGAACAAGGAGCACTGTTCTCCTCCTGCACTGCAGTTTCTGCTCAGAGCTCTACCTGTATTCAAGTGGTGAGCAGAGGAAAGCATGCCTGCGCAGTCAGGCACAGGCAGCTGTGCCGTCGTCCCCCTGTCAGAGCCACCTCCTGTCTGGAAGCCACCAGACTGTTGGAGGCACACGGCTCAAGTGAGCAGGCCCCACTGGAGTACAGGACTGTCCACATTTGACCACGCAGACACAGAGCAAAAGCATGTGTTCTGGCCACCATATGGCACACGCCATTTAATGGGACATTCCTGATTAACTGAGATGTTAGCTTCATGAGTGTGATACCATATCATCTGCACACCGGGTTCTCCATCCCAAGAAGTGGTCACAAGAACACAACAAAGAAACCTCCCAAATGTCCCTATTATTTTGAGCACCATTCCCTCAGGGCTTTGTAGACACCGGAGCTAATCTTTAGCTAGAGAATGTTATGTAGCTTGATCCATTTTTGCCCTTTGCAGCTCTAGCAATAGCCTGCTCATGAACAAGGTTCTGGACAGTAAAAGCTTGCTTATCTGCTTTCATCAAAACTGAATAGCATTACCCAAATCAGCCAAAAACACAGCCCATTCAGGCGGGCCCACGGGGGAGAGAGACACTGCGAATAGCCCAGCCAGAACACTTGCGGGGGAGTTGACCTGAAAGGGATTTTTCATGCTATTCTAACGTTATTTACGGTAACTCAGTCCCCTACAGACAGGGCATTGTCTGCCCTTGACAAACAGCCTAACAGTTCCCCAAAGCACCCGCCTGGACAATGGGGCAGGGGCACGTGGCAGGGCCAAGCGGGACCTCCACCACCCCGACATCATCCCTCAGCAGCCAGCTGGCAGCGCCCATGGATTCCTCCAACACAGAGGGTGCCACTGTCAGCACGGGGTGTTGCACACACACAGCTGAGCTCACCAGCAGGAACCGAACCGAGCCTGGCCAGAACTACCAGCCTCCTACGTTTGGTGTCCCGATGCAGAGGGCTGAGGCATGCCATGTGGTGCGGAAGCGGAGACAACCTGCAGACATGATGTCCTGAACTAACCCGCCCCACACAGGCACAAAGAGGAAGGATGCACCTAGCAGAGGGGTTACAGCACTTACAACAAGCCCAGCACACTGAAAGGGCACAGCACACCTGAACAATATGAAGGAAAACACGATTGCATTAATTACTGTTTATCCTTTGTAGCTTTTCAAACTAGGACAGGACTTCTTTTTAATTTATTTTTATTTTGCAGATACAGTAAAACAGAACTTCCATGAGCAGTCCTACCTGGACACCAGCATCAGCAGCAAAGCCAGACTAAGACCCAAGAGTGGGATTCATTGCTTCACCACCTCCCTAGACAAGTCCTGCCATAAAAGTGAGGTTTTGGATGAGACTGTGGGGTTAGTTGATCTAAGAGTGGGCAACCAGAGAAACAGGAGGCTTGATCGCCAAGCAGTAAGATGCAGTTAGGAACATGGCACTTGATCTGAAATATATGCACCTTACCACGCAAATACTATAGAAACATGTTAAAACACTAACACTGCTTGGTTTTGCCTATACAGAGACAAGTTTCCTCTTATAAATGATGTAAGAACAGCAGAACAAGGAGTTTTAAAAAGCAAGACTCCAGAAACAGCTTTTTCTAGCCATACCCAAACACAATTGCCAATAACACACAAGGCCTTCAGGTGTCTGTAGGCTGATGCTGGAATGCAAACTTGATTTCAGGAAACCTCAAATACTCACTCAATAACACCGAGTTTAGAGACTCCTGAGCAGACCATTTTATCTCTGCATGCTTACTTTGGAAGCCTTTGGGAGCGTAGAGAGAAATAAAAAGCAGACAGAAGCTGTTACAAACTGATTACGTAGCAAAAGCCCTTACTCAGCTAGGTGAGGAATTTGAAGACACCCTGGGGAAGGTAAACTGTGTACAGAATTAAAGCGAAGCTGCTTGTCACATAGGTGTATTAGTCACATATATTCTGCTGACCTTTCCATTATACTCCCTCAAGATTCTTTAGGATTATCTGCTTCACTGTAGCAAACAATTGCCTCCTTAAAATCCATGTGAGACATGATAAATTAGGATGGGAATATCCATTTTCCGTAGCAAAACCTGCTTTCTAATCCCCCACCTTGCCTATCCCTGCAGGAGGCTGCTCCATCCCTTAAAGCCACGTCACCGTACCTCCTTCCTCCTCACACCCTGCCAGCTGCTTATCGCTGGAGGCGTTCGGATTCTACGGTGTCTGGCGGGCCGCTGCCACCACATCGCTGGGGTGAAAAAGCCTGGTTTTGGTTCAACCCAAGCTCTCGCCCCACACCCCCGCTACCCCCTACCCAGGCGGCAGAGCCCGAGGGGAGCAGGCGGGCCCCAGCGCAAGGTGGGTCCTGCCCCACTGCTCCCGCAGGC